CATCTGTCTACGCATCTCTCTCAATCCACCTACGAACTTGTATGAGACCTGCTTCTTGCACAGCTTCCATAACAGTGCATCCCTGACCACTATCAAATGCTTTCTGTAAATCAATAAAAACCAAAACACTCAAATTTCTTATTATAAAAATATTGTCCTCCATTCTCCTACTCTTTCTAAAACTCATCTGCAAATTTGAAATATTCCCTCTCCTCTCCATCTAATCATTTAATGTTTCAGCAAGTATCCTTGTATAAATTCTTGAAGCTGAAATCAAAGCTATTCCTCTAAAATCCCTGTCAACCATCTCCCCTTTACCCTCGTCTATCAAGTGTAATAGAATTGTCTTCCATACTGTTGGAAACTTTCCTGTCTCATAAATTTTATTAACTTAGTTACCATTCTTCCAACATCATCAATACTGCACCTGTCCCTCCAGAATTTCACAGGTAATCCATCTATCCCCGTGCCTTTAACTCTGCTTGCAGTTTTCATATATATAGTGACTTCCTGTATGTTTGTTTCTCTATCCAACTCACCCAGCCTAATTCTCTCCAAAAATTTCTGGCAGCAAGCTGTACCATACTGCTTGTCTCCCTAAAAGCCTCTTTAAATATTCCTTAACCCGACTTAGTTTTAGCTTATATCCGTTCTGTTTCTTCACGTGGGTCAAAGTTTTAATGTGTCTCCACAACTGATGCATTTTTCCCGTCTAGCCAAGATTTTTCTTTTCCTGCCAGGTTCTCACAACTGAACAATGGAGGTTCATAATCAATAAAGAGGTATTACTCTGGTCAAGGAGTATAACTAAGTAAATGTAACATACTGTTAGATGATGTACAGGTAGCTCTCGATTTACGCCCGGGATGCGTTCCTGGACGAACCGGCGTAAATTAAAACTCTTTTATAATGTAAATCATTGGGAAGTCAATGACATGCGTTCCCAGCACCCAAACATTGACGAGTAATATAATGGCATTACATTTAAAGCTCTGAAATAACGTAAATAAAATAAAGGGAATTTAAAAAGTTGTCAGTGGAACCACGGTTCCGGAGAATTTGACGTAAATACGTCATACATGCTTTACAATTGAGTAAAGTTTGATTAAGACATTGCTTATTTAACTTGAATTAGTTACGCTTAAGATGGGTCTGTGGTAGATGAATGTAATGTAAGGTAAAGTCAATGACATGCGTTCCCGGCACCCAAATATTGACGAGTAATATATTAACATTACAATTAAAGTTCTGAAATAACGTAAATAAAATAAAGGTATTTACAAAATATATTTTATACATTTACAATCGGCAATTCGTTGGTCCCGCGATTCTTTCATGTGATTGATGTGTACAGTCATCTCTGCAGTTATGCGATAGTTGCATTCATGTAAGACGCCGACCTATAGAAAATCGCATAGTAAAAAGAACCCCGGTACCTCCGCAGAGATTAAATTAGTCCTTTGAAAGTTTAAAGTGCCAGAAATGAAATTGCACAAGAGCAAACTCGCATATGCAAAAGTTTGCATTTCACAAACAGCTTTTACCGATTCATTGATCTCATTGGAGCAAATTCACGTTAACGAAACATACATAATTGCAGAGATGACTGTATTTATAATTTTTATTCAAAATCAGCGCTGTAAGAATTGATTTATAAGAATCAGTACGAGATACACTGTAAAACGTTATAAATAATAGTAAAATATATTTTTTTACTTTTTGACTTGCTGGTTTCAAAATCGGCGTTATTCTGAATCAGCACAAATTTAACCAGTGCAAATCGAGGGCTACCTGTATTATACAAGTTTATGTATCCTTGTATAATGAAGATTCAGAATACATTGTATACATATATTCCTACCTTCAGACAGGACAGCTGCCCATTGGCTTGCTTCAAGTACTGTGCCAGGATACTTGTTGGCAAAGTGCAGACAGAGTCTTTAATGTGAACCACATTCACTAGGGCAACCTGAAACATACGTCAGTTAAACAGCGTTTCAAATTTCAATAACCAGTGCTTTCGCCCGCACCTTCTCATTCTTACACACAGCACAAAGTGTCTCACCGTTTCATCTGGATGCATAGTGTGTCCCTCATTCCTGATGAGGAAGATAACAAGAGGATAACAGAGTCGAGGAGGCGTGCCCAGATCTAGTGCCGGCTGGGGAAGGAACAGTGTGAATACTTCTTCTCCGTGTGAAGTTTTGCTGTGATACAAGTCAAGGTTCTCATATTCAAACAAGTATAAAATTGATGTGTAGCGGACAGAACATGTACTCTGCACTTTGGGGATCCCAAATTCTTAATTATGACCTGGGGCCTGGCTTTTCATGTTTGGAATAGTACCAAGACAGTTTTATTCCCCATGTCTGCAAGTTCATAATTTGTAAGTCATCCTGCCATTTGATGCTACATAGCAACTATATCTCATACAGAATCATTAAATAAAACACAAAATGCAAGCAAATACTTATGTTATCCATTACTGGACTGCTCTTACTTTGGAAATGGCTACTATGTTTTACTTTGTCAAGATAAAATGCTGCTGTAACATTCAGACCAGAATATGCATTCTTCCAGTTCAAAGCACCTCACCTCACCTCACCTCACACTGCAAGGCAAATGCTGGAATGTGTCCCTAAACAATGCGCGCACACTTAATAAATAAAATAAAGATATTTTAATTTACTAAACCATTACATATGTCAGCACTGGGACTTAGTGCATTACTAAATTTAGTCCACGTGTTCAAAATGACTACCACCAGCTTCATAGCGCAGCTGACAGCAGTGAGCAACTAACTGAAGCGGTCACCATATAATGTGTCTACATCTTTTTGGGACACACCGTATGTTAATCAAACAGTCCACATTCATCAGATACTTGAGAAAACTGGAATACAAGATGAATGGAATGGTCAGGGCATGCAGCACATGGAAAAGATAAATACATACATTATGGTCAGAAAATCTGAAGGGAAGAGGCCACATGAGAGACCTAGGCATAGATGGGAGGATAACATGCATATGGATCATAGAGAAATAAGGCTTCAGGATAGAATCAGAATTTGTTAGGTTGAGAACACAGCCTATTGGAAGGCTCTTGTGAACATGAACCTTTGGGTTACACAAAAGCAACGAATTTCTTCAACACTACCCATTTTCCAAACGTAACAACCTCCCCCAGTTGCCCGATCTTCTCATACAGTCTAGTACATTTAAAACGATTAACAGTTCCTGATTAATGGTAGTTTTGTAAAGAACAGAAGTACACAAGTAATTGCAGAAAAATGAATGAGTGTGTTCACTGTGTGTGGTTGTTGTCCAGAAAGAAGGTCCAAGTCATCTTGGCTGCGTTTCCACTGAAACTTTTTCTTCTTCTTTTCCCTTCTTAGAAACACGTGTTGCCCATCAAAATCTTGATTCAGTTACTTAAAGAGTATTGCATGATTGCATCACAAACTTTGTCACTGTGTAACACTTGCAAATTGCCACAATTCATTTCTCTTAGTACTGTAAATGTCTTCTGAAGAACGTGTCTAAACACTGGAGTTCATGTTCTCTAATGTAAATACAGTGATTGAAAGTAAATTGCAAGATAAAGGATACTGTAACACACATCCCTTGTGTTGGTAGTGACCCTGAAGGATTGTTCCCTGCTCCATCTGCCCCTCCAGCACACTCCAAGGGCGCCACAGAGACAGGTGCAATTCCCGGATGGAGACGCCCCAGAATGCCTCCAAGGTATAAGGCACTTGGCTTGATACCATGCACTGTACATCTGTAAGTGAAACACAGCAAACATTAGAAAGAAATATGCCTTGTATCACAAAACAGCTGTGAAGTTCATACTTTCTTGTCAAGTATAATTAATTCTCTACTTTAAAAATGTCAGGTCCCTGCATATCTCTGGTTAGTATTCAAAATCAAGGGAAGACAACAGACTACCGGTCCACAAGTATAAGACTTCCGACTTCAACCAATCAAGTGGTACAAAGTCCGAGTCTTTGACCGGTTGCTGCAATGGCTACACCGTCATGTCCTAGGGTCAGCGTCCACCGTGACCGGCACGTCTCGGTTCCCGAAACGTCCAAATTATGTGCATTTACACTCACAAATTTGTGTAGACTGTTCATTATGTATGGTGGGGAGCGATTTAAGGACCCATAGCGACTGAGTTTATCACACAAAGTTTGTAAACATACTTTTGACTCACCTTGTACATTTCGGAGATATTTACAAGTAGAGAGTAACCTTACAAAATATTCCAAGTTCTGAATGCACACACATTCAGGCATCGACCATTACACGTGACTGATTCATGTGCATTTCAACAACCACCACGAAAATAAGTCCAAACAGCTTGGGCAATTGTGTCCAAGCGTGCGCATTGTCAGTCTACTCGTTACAATTTCCCGGGACAGAAGATCACGTTCGTCACGCTGTGATAACCAACCACAGTCGCCACTTTCGTGGGTGCAGGAATCCTATGGCGCCCAGCAACTAACGCAATTCACCATCTTCTTTATTTTCGACAGCAACGCAGAGGGCGGACAACGGCGAACGCCATCAGTCCGACGGCCGCGGCTCAGCTGGACAGAAAACACACCGACTCACTGTACCGATCCACCCGTAATGACCATTCGTCGGGTTTCAATGACACTCTACGCAACAGACGTCAACGTTCGATCGAAGCTCCGTGTCGTTGTCGAAGGAAATTCCCTTGAGATTGATAAGGAGAGAGCGGAAAAGGTGGTAATCAGATGGGGCAAGGTCCCGAGAGTAGGGCGGATGCGGAAGAACCTCCCAGCCGAACTCTTCGAAGACGTCTCTGGTGAGCTTTGCGACGTGGGGTCTGGCGTTGTGTGCAGCACCCACGAACCGAGTTTCTCGACCTTTCCCATCGATTGCAGGTATCGAACGATTGTTGAATCGTCGCATCCCATCTCTTCTGCCAGTGCTCGAGTTGTTTGCCGGATATCAACGTGGATCAGAGCATTCAGACGGCCCTCATCGATAATGGAGGGTCGTCCGCAGCTCGGAGTGTCACTCATGTCGAAATTGCCCTCCTTGAAGAGCGCAAACCATTCCCGGGCTGTTCCTTCGGCAAGAGTCTTCTCCTTAGACGGCACAAAAGTTTCGGGCGGCTTCTGCAGCTTTGGAGCTTCGACTGAACTCGTAGCAAAGAAGGTGTCAGAAACGTTCGTTTTTGTCAGCTGGGCACTCCATAGTTTTTAGCCTGAAATTTTTCTTCATTAATTCAATCGAAAATTTTCAAAACAGATCCACAGGGTTGACGATGCGAGCTATCAAATCGTATATAACATTGCGGCCTCAGGCAAATTTTATCACGTCAAAACTTTGATTCATTGAAAACGGCACGAACTTATGCACCAACCCAATAAATACGGGACATCTTCCATTCTTACACGAAGCTGACGCCAGGCAAGCATTACAACATCCATCCTTTCTTTCAAGTCTTTTGTGCGTTCTCTGCCAGGGAGGAGAAACTCATTACCGGCTGGTAGTGTCTGTCCGTCCGCATGATCCAATTCCAGAACCACTAGATGGAATCAGATAACACCTGCTCTGGGTGATGCGCCACAGAGCACTACCTCAAAATCATACTTTTGAATATCTGAAGATAAAAATGAGATAATTGGCGGATGACGAAAGTTGTGAGTGCTACCACCAGCAGGACAATGAGGTGCCGCAATCTGGTCGCCAAAGTTGAAACTATCTCACAAGACTACACACAGCTCCATCTGGTAGCGGAACTCCGAACTAAAATCACGCTGCAGCCAAACGGAACGTTGAAACGGGGAATTTGTATCCACTTGTTATGCAGTACATGGCTACAAGAGCATGGGACAAAAAGTAGGGTTATGACGGTTACCATGCTAAACATTATCAGAAAGAGATAGTGCTTACCATGCTAGCCCCCAACAGAATGAGACAATACGTAAATTTACCACAAATACCATGAACACGGTGATTGCCATGGTAACCATCGCAATAATTGTTCCGACAACTTCTACGTTTGCAGCAGATAACACAGTTTTGTCGGAAACCATGGTTACTGTGGCCGACAGCAGGGGGAGTCCCTTTTGGTGGCCAGGCAAAGGGGCTGGCTGGCAGATTGTGACCTACAAGGCGCGGAGGAGGAACATGTCGGCGTTTCCATGTGTCTGACTACTTTAAGAATGGTTGGGTTATGGTATCTTACGGTCAAATGAAGGTTAAGCTGCGGGGGGGGGGGGGGGGGGGGGG